AGAGATATATATCTAATATCAAAAATCCAGGAATTCAGGAATAAATTGAATAAAATTATAATTTATACAAAATTAAAACAAAGAAATATTTTCAATTTGATATAAATAAAAGAAAATTACAAATAAAAAATAGCTTTTATATTATTATTAAGTTTATAAGAATATATAATTATACTATTTGAATTAATTAATATATTAGTTATATATCAACAATAGAACAATAAGATATTCAAAAAGTTCAATTTATTTATAATTTATTATCTGAATAATATTCTAATTTTCTTTTAGAAAGAAAAAGAATATAAAGGATATATATTGAAAGTATTCGAAGCATTCAAAAAAATGAATTCGAGATTCTCGAAATGCAAATTTGGAATATGAAAGGTAATATTTCTAGAATATATTATTCAATCAGAACAAATGAATATAAATCTTAAGAAAACAAAGAAAATAAGGAATTAGAAACAATTCAGGAATATCAAGGATATATAATCTATTTTGAGATTTATTAATTTCTATCGAATATTTATAAAAGATTTCTCAAAAATGATAAAATTCTTTATCGAAATAATCAAAAAAGAAATAACTTTTATTTAAAATGAAAAGGCGGAACAAACTTTTCAAGAAATCAAGAATAGATTTATTAGGGAATTTATTCTTTACAATTATTATAATGATTGGGAAAGCATTATCGAGATAAATACTTTTGATATCTGTATAACAGAAGTTCATTTATAGAAAAATAATAATAGAAAACTATATTCTGTTATTTATTATTCAAACAAAATAAACAAAACAAAGCAAAATTATAACATTTACAAAAAGGAATTTATAATTATTATAAAAATATTAAAATATTAAAAGATCTATTTTTAAAAGATTAAATTCCTAATAATCATTTATATTGATTATATAAATCTTCAAATCTTTATTATTATTAAGATTTTGGATAATTATAGATTAACTAAATAAATTAAGAAATTAACAAAATTTGATTTAATAATCAAATATATTAAGAGAAAAGATAATACAAAAACAAATATTTTGAATAGATTATCAAGTTACAAAAACGATAAGATCTATCAAGAAATAACAATCTTGAAAACCTTATCAAATAAAGATCTTATCTCTAATCTAATAGAAATCATTATTATAGAAAATAAATTAATAAAGATTTAGAAAGATAAATTTATAAAAATATAATAAAATAAAGAAGATATCAAATAATTAGAATTATTAATAATTATTAATAAATTGTTTTGAATAAGAAACAAAATATAATTATTTAATAATATCGTTTTTAAATATATTATAGAACAATATATATTGTTAATTTATAAATATTAAAGAGTATAAAAAATATATCTAAGGATCAAAAAACAATATTGAAGTCTAAAATTCTACAATATAATTAATAAAATAATTATTGAATATAATATCTATATTAAAAACAAGACTTTTTGTTATATTCTTTATAAATAAATAAATATTATCGAAATATTATTTATATTATAAAAATCAATATTATAAAACTTTATAAATCCATTATTAAAATTCAAGAATTCAATAATAAAAATAATATATGATTATTTTCTTATTATAATAAATAAATTAACAAAATATCTAATACTTATATTATACTAAATAATATTAATTATAAAAATATTAATCTTTATATTCCTAAAAGAGATTATTATAATATATAAATTATCAAAAGAAATACTTTTTAATAAAAATAAACTTTTTATATCGAAATTTTGAATTGTTTTAATAATATTGTTAGAAATAAAAAGGAAAATATTTATTATATTCTATTTACAAATTAATAAAAGAAATAAAAGAATAAATCAAATTATTAAAATATACCTTCAATATTATATAAATTATCAATAAAACAATTAAATAGAATTTTTATTTTTGATATAATTCGTATATAATAATTCAACATCGAAAGTAATACAAATCATTCCGAATTATATCAATTATAAATACAAATTAATTATATATTGTAAATCTAGAATTATAAAAATAGAAAATCAATCTATAATAATATAAATAAAAAAATTTAAGAAAATCTACAAAAAAATAATAACAAAATTAAAATTTATTATCGAAAGAAATATATATTATTATAATCGAAAATATAATCAAAAATTAATATTAAAAGAGAAGAATAAAATCTATTTATTTTAAAAAAATATTGAAACAAAAAGATCTAATACAAAATTGGATTATAAAAAATTCGGATTATTCAAAATCAAGAAAATTAAAAGATCTTTGAATTATGAATTAATATTATTGAAAAGTATAAATATATATCTAATGTTTTATATATCTCTATTCGAACTAATATTCTTAAGGGTACCAAAAACTTCTGAAACAGAAATTATATTTATAAATTAGAATATTGAATATAAAGTAAAAAATATATTAGATTACAAATATATTAAAAACAAAATCAAGTATTTGATGAAATAGGAAGATTATTTCGATTTTGAAAATATATAAGAATTTGAAAAAGAGATTAAATATTTAAAAAAATTCCAGAAGTTTCATTAATAAAATCTGGATTTATTCCAAAAAAAAAAAGAATTCATTGTTTTTTGCAAAAAAGAATCAAAAAAATCGAATTTGTTTGTAAGAATTTTATTGAAGTTGGTAGAGTCAATTGATAATTAATCAAATTGATTAAAAAAATCAGAATTAATAATAAATATTGAAGATATAACAATTTTCTTTTTTTCTTTTCTTTCCTTTTTTTCCAAAATATCTAATTTATTAAAATATTTGAGATTTCGTTCAATTATCTTTTTATAACAATTCTATAAATAATTTTATTATTTTTAAAAATAAAGAATTTTAATTATAACCTTTTCTTTTTCTTTACAGAGTTTTTCCTTTTGTTTATTTAAGAATTCTCAATTATTTATTCAAGGAATTTCTTTATTTCAATTATCTTCCAAATATTGTTTTGTATTATAAAGAGTACAAGATTGTATATATTTAGAATAACAAATCTTTTGTAAATTATTTAGAATTTTTATATAACGAAAATTCTTTGTATGATAATAGATATATAGAATCATTTCAATATCAAAATTCTTGATTTCAATTATAAAACAAATTTTTTTTTGTTCTTTCAATGAATTTTGTTAGATTATAAATCATTTATAATAAAGAAAAGGATTAAGATATAAAATAATAAAAAAACTAATAAATTATATATTAGTTATAAGTAATTAAGGATGATATTTAGTTAAGAAAAGGATAATATTATAAAATCATTTTATAAAATGTTATAGAATAACAATCAATTTATTTGAACAAATTTAAACCTTCTTGAAAAGCAAAGCAATTTATATACAAATTTATATAACAATCGTTTTATATAATCTCTTTATCTTCAACAAGTTTAGATATATAATCTGATCCTAATTATATAATAAAGTTTCCAGGAATGTAAGCTTTTATAGACTCCTTAAAGCTTTTAGGAATATAAACTCTTCAAGGCTTTCGAAATGGATTAGTATATAATCAGAATAGTTTTATAATTTAGAAGCTTCATATTCAACTTAATTATCAATTAATTTATTTATATTCCGATTGATCTAATAATGTATTTACCTTTGAGTGGATAATCAATGATTATTAGCCTTAACCTATAACTACCAACCATACGAAACCTCAGGCAGCCGCTGCCTCGACCAGATCGTTATATTAAAATTATATATATAAAAAAGATATATCAATCCTTTATAATAACAATTAAAGAGATTTAATGAATTGTAAAAGAATTGATAAAAGATTAAAAGGGATGAAAGATAATTTTTGAATAAATGAAATATATATTAAAGATTAGGATTTTAATATATATTATTCGATATAAATTATATCGATATAATTATAAATATTATATAATTTATTCTAAACTATTTATTTTTAAAAAACAAACAAAAAAAAGATTGGATTTTGTATATATATATCGTTGATAAAGAATAATTAATATAATCTTCGAAAAGTTTAAAAAGAATAATTAAAAAAAGATTATATAATTAAACAAAAACATTTTCGAAGTTTGATTAAAGTATAATATTAAAGATTTTCAATAGCCCTTTTTTTCTTCAGATCTTAATCCAATTGAGAAGATATAATATTAGATGAAAAAGGAGCTAAAAAAAAACTATCATTTGTATCTACTTCTACTAAAGAATTGAAAAAGAAGCTTAAAAGATTATAGAAGATGTTTGATCCTTTAAATTTCAGGCCATATATTGAAAGATTGATCTATAAATTAAAAAATATAATTGAAATAAAAAGATTAGCTACTATTTATTAATATATTATTAGATTTTCAATAAAAAATATTGTGGCATTGATTTAATATTAAATTTTCAAAAATGTAGATGAAATTTAAAGGGGGTGCAGTGAGTAATGACCAGAACTCTTACAATGAAGGAAGTGGCTTTTGCCCCACCAAGCCATATTTTCAATGAAATCACACTTGCATCCATTTCCAGTTTACATCCACTTCATTTTTCTGCGACCTCCTCTTTCAGAGACCCAGCTGAAGAAATGTATAGAAAATTTGATTGGACCTGAAGAGTGGTGTGCCAGCTAGTTAAGCAGAAAGTTCTTTAAAGGTCTGAAGTGCGTCTTTCTACTCCAACTTTATGATATCACATCACTTTGACTGGCCGTTTCTCTTTTCTACTTTTTCCACTTCCAGCCTGGTACAGACACTCTCTCATCATTGTACCTTCATTACCATTCTAGTCCATTGATTGCCGATGCTTTCTCTGTGCCCAGAAATTGGAGCATTTGAGGTTGCACATGTATGCCACCGACGTAAATTTGCATTTTATTTAATCGAATCATGGGAAAAGTACCAATTATGGCAATCCATTTGATAATGAAATGACTTTCACATGTGGAGGTAATGGGCTCTCGGGGCATACTTATAGCCGTCGATTTTCCCACAGGACAAGATGATGTAAAAGGCAACAATTTACCCATACATCAAAATTCACATCTCGTAAAAATAGTCGCCAATAGCCACTACTCAAGTCATATACTACAATTTATGATCATTCAATACTTAGAAGCCCTGTTTCGAGACCCTTCGCCATGGCCCTCGCATACCCAGAGGGAGAATGCTTCTTTGTGCGAGATGGTCTACGTGCTCGGCGGCCCACTCATTATTCCTACGATGCTAACAGACCCGATCATTTCAAAAACCATATGATGGTTGAATACATCTGGAATAGGCCAGCGCATTCTTCATGGGATGCAAATTCGGGCTATAATAGCAGGGGACATGATCATCCTAGAACAGCCTACACTATCACGAGAGTATTGCTACGATCGTATCATGGCGGCTTTAATTACTTGCCCTTTTCTTATGGTGCATCAGAAAGTAATATTCGTACAAGAGTACAACATGAACTTTGTACACGTCCTAGGACCTTTGATGATTGGTGGTATGGAGCTTCAGATGAGGTATATCCTTTCCTCTAAAGCCTACCTTTTCTCCTCTCACTGACCTTTCAGTCCTGGTTCATGCATATGCCAATGCCTCATCCAGGTGAATGGATCTGGATAGATGTAAGTTATTCAACACACCTCAAAGTCTCGGAAAATAAAAAAGGCAATGGCTGACAAGGCCATCTCCCGATAGATGGTTGCCCACATTCGAGCTGTCTATCTTCCCTTATCCTACTACGCCTCCGAGAGCAACCAGAACCTATGTTGCTTTGTCCAAATAAATTTCGCTCAAAACCGCACCGTTGCCGTTTGGCGTGGCGGTAATAGTATGGTTACTCATGCTATGAACATCACCACAGGTCTAGGCGTTCACCATGGCCATACCATCGGACTCAATGTCCACGAACTCCTAAAACTGCTTGCTCTTCCCCGTCAACTCCGCAAACAAAATCCATACGCGGCCAGGCTCATCAAAATTGTTCCCAACAATCATGTTGCAACACAGAACATACACAATGTTACAACTTACAGGCATGAATATGATGTTGAGTGGCTCACAGTCGCCAAAGCCAATTTCGGATTGGACCTTCAGTGGAAACCCGCCCAACGTTCCAGCTGGCTTAATGATTTCTTCAGAGATGTACTCACTAATCTCATTTCTATGATCCCTGTGGCGGGTCCATTCCTAGCCATACTGTTCCCCGTCGCGTGGACGCTTGTTGTTGATCCCGATTCGGCATGGGATATGTTACGCGACCTTGTTCCGGGCGTCAATCTCACGGATCAAATGGTGAGGGCACTGTTACTTTCTCTCGACGAGACTAAAGAATACTTGCCCGATGGATGGGAAGCTATTGCTATCCCTCAACAACCAAAGTCGGTGGCCATGATCAAGACTAAGGCAATTAACCCAGGAGCCACGAAGGACGAGGCTTTGACGGAAGATGGTGCCAATGAAACTGTTGTGGGCTTGGCATTCTGTATTGCTGAGGATATCCTTGCAAAAAGCGGAAAAGAGAGAGCATTTGAGCATCATGTCGAAGATGCACCGCCTGACGAGGGAGGCAATCCAGACGGAGACATTGAAAAAGTGAATCCCCCATCTGAGTTTCCCGATCAGAAGGAGGGTGATGAGGGAAGATGGGAAGGATGGGGCAACTAAATTGAAGTGAACACTATGGTATTTGAGGTTATAAATGAAATTGTGTGCAGAAAGATTGGGAAATTCTATGAGCTTCCAACATCAAATTATCGAGCGCTTATGGTACCGTTTTTGGTATAACTACTCGGAGCTGCCACTATCTTTCATTTCAAGGTATTTATATAGTTATGTAGTATCCCATCATTAGCCTAAAATTGAATGATAAAACAGTCGATTTAATACTTTAAGACTCACCTACGTTCCTGGGTACGAGTAGCTTTCCTTACGATACCAAGATAGACACTTTCTAGGTAGTGATGAATGTTATGTTTTAAGCTTTTGCAGCTTCTTCGGGCTATGTGGCTTGTGGTTGGATACAGGGAGGGCGGGGTGAAAAACAAACGAAGAGCGGAAGAACTTGGATGGGTAGAGACTTTGAATTACATGCAGTTCATGAATTGTATTCACTTAATCTTTACGTTTATTTGTGCAAACAACTACTCGAACAGTGAATGCATTGAATAAACAGTGAGATTCACAGCGTTTTGAACACTTAGCGCTTCGAGTCAGGCACCAGTCCAAGCAACTGAATACTACCCTGATGCTCTTTCTCATGTTTCTATTGCTTGCACCCCACCATTGTGTGAATTAGAAGGAATTGATGAAGCTAGTAGAAACTATGGTATAAAGTTACAATAAGGACTTATGATAAAGCGAGAGGAAAGGGGGGAATGAAGAGATGAACAGTGGAAGAAAGATATAAAATAATTATGAATTCTTTTCCATAAAGAAATAAGCTTTCTGTTTGTATATACACTTAGTATATATAAACAAAATTCATCTTCAATATAAAAATAATAATAAAAAATTGAAAGATAAGAAAATAATTTTATGATTTTATTATCAGCTTACCGACACTAAAACCCTACTGTATATACAGCATACTGTAATTTATCCGATGTAAATCATAAAAAATGAGAAATTCGTTTAAGTGAATCGCAATCTTTGATGATATAATTGATTTAAAATATTTTAATAAATAATCTAACAAAAAGTTTGATATAAGCTTTAAAACTTTAAACAAATCTGATTTAAAGCTTTTTTCAATTTAACTCAATTGAAATCATTCAACTCAATTCACAATTCAATTGAAATCATTCAACTCAATTCACAATTCAATTGAAATAATTCAACTCTGAAATCATTCAATTCAACTCTATTCATTCAATTCATCTCATTCAACTTATAATAATAATAATAATAATAATAATAATAATAATAATAATAATAATAATAATAATAATAATAATAACTAATAATAATATGAAAAATATTATAAGTAACATTATAAATAATATAAAATATTTTAATTTTCAATTATTAAAAACAAGCCGATATTCTGCCTACACTTTAATATATATATTCAATATTTAAATTTATTATAAACTTTTTAAAACTTAAATTTCGACTAGACTTTGTCGAAAAGCCAGGGGTCTGGGGGGCGCAGGCCCCTGGTAATATATAAAAAAATTTTGTTTATAATAATGACTTTACTAATAAATTTTCGATTAGAAATCTTTTAATTCTCTCTATAATTTTCTATTATTATTTAACATTTATTAAAAATTTCTAATAAAAATTTTATTTTAATATATTATATTATAATATATTATGATAGAGATCCATTTCATATTATATATATATATATATTTTTATAATTTTTTATAATTTCTTTTTATTTATTAAATATAAAATAATAAAATAAAATATAATTCGTTATTTGATTATGCTATTTATACTTATTATAATTTAATTTAATTTTTTCGATTTTCATTTTTATTATTATTGAATCAATTCTTTTTGTTATATTATTATATAAATTACAATATAAAATATATTAGTAAATTATACGAATATTACCCAGAGTGCTTTTGGGTATTTAGATTATTTAAAATTGAAATAGTGGATTAATTATTGTTATTATAAGAATCTCATTGGTTTTTCTATATCCAAATTGAAAATAAGATGGGGAGTAATAAAGTTTTTATAAAAAGAAATCTAAAAAGTATTTAAATTATAATAGATTTATTAATGAAAACAATATATTAATCAAATATAATCTAAAAAAAATTTATACTTATTATATAAAATCTTATTAAAATAGGAATTATAAATTTACAAATTCTGAAAAAAAACAAATAATCCAAAAATTATTCTATATAATAATTTTCCAAATAATAATCTTATCTTAAATAACATAATATTAATCTTTGGTTTTTATATCAATACTATTTTAGAAATTCGTTTAAAAAAATAGATTTATAATTCTTAAATTATAATTATATTCTTTAAAAAAAAGATCTTATTTAAAATATTATAATAATATATTATATTTATATAGAAAATCTCATTTTTTAAATATAAATCTCTTTCATTTTATTTGAATTTTTATAATTTTTTTATAAACAATCCTTCTTTAATATATTCAATAATAAATTATAAAATAAATAAATTATTTTATCGATTTCGAAATCTATTTTCAATAAGAAAAAATACAAATAAAATATAATATAAATATCCAAATATCTAATATTTCTTATATAAAACATCAAAATAAAAAATATTATTTATCTCGAATATACAAATTGCTTTTGTATTTATATAAAATAAACTATATCCTATATTCCAAATAATTATCAATCTTCTCAATTCTTTTATAAAATCCAATAGAATCTTTTTAATTTCGATAAAGATTATACAAATATTTTATAACTTTTATTGATCAAAGAAATATATAATAAAAAAATATTCTTTTATTCATTATATTAAAAGATATATAATAAAGTTTTTGAAATTCTTCAAAACTTCATTGTTTAGATTTACTATAAATATAATCTAATAATTATAAATATCAAATAAAATAGTAATATATCGATTATAAAAATTATAAAGGATATTTTATTTAAGAAATGAATACAATAAAAGGAAATAAAACTTGAACTATCCTTATTTTATATATAAAAACTTAACAAAAGATTAGAATATATAAAACAAAAAACTATAACAAAACAAATAAAAATATATTTCATTTTAGAATTATCAAATAATCTTTAAATAAAAATAATGTTTATTATCATCTATTTTTATAATATTAATTCTTTGAAAATCAAATCCTTCAAATTTTTAAAATGAAATATTAGATATATAATTTCATAATTATCTATAGGAAAATGATCTATTATTTGCTAATAAAATATTTAACGATTTTTAATTAAATTAAAACGAAATTTATAATTATAATTATTATACATATCTATTGAATAAAAATCATAAGATCAGAATTAAGAAAAAATGACATAAAACTTATCTATAAATTTATATTAAATATTTAATAAATTATATATTATATATTAAATATATTAATCTATTATATATAGATATTAAAATTCAACAAAATAATTATTATTCGAAAAATCACTTTCAATGAAAATTTTATTCATTATATAGATTCTATAGAAAAATTATTAAATATATATAATCTAAAAAATCTTAAAAAATTTATCAAAATCTCCAATATAAGAGTTCTAATCATTACTCACTACATCCCCTTCAAATTTTATTTATATTTCAAATAAACTTTTATATTATCCTTTACAAATATATATTCAAATCCTAATTCCTTAAATAAAGAGAATATAATAAAAATAAAAACCTGATCCTAATATATTATTGAATTTACCTTTTTATCATTAAGATTCTTCTCCAAAAAGACTAATAAAGATTTATAATTTCAATCAAAAGCTTTTTATATCATTATACACTCCTTTCTAATTTATATACTAATTTGATACAACTTTTATATCTCTTTTCTTCAATTTTATAAATCATTTATATCCTACTACATTTTTCAACTTCGAAAATACTTTCATTCAATCATATAACCTTCTTTCAATCATTCTCTCTAAGCTTTTCGAAAACTATATCAATTATCCCTTATCAATAATATATATATATAAAATATAATCTCTTTTTTACTTATTTTTTAAAAATAAATAATCTAAAATAAACTATACAATATTTATAACTATATCAATATAATTTATATCGAATAATATATATCAAAACTCTAACCTTTAATACATATTTCATTTATTCAAAAATCATCCTTTTTCCCCTTTAATCTTTTATCAATTCCCTTATAATTCATCAAATCTTTTTCACTATCATTATAAAAAATTGATATACCTTCCCTTTACAAATGATTCTAAATAAATTCGATACCTCTTACAATACTTCAAAATACACCCAAATTTTACTCAATCCAAAATCACGATTTTCCATCCTTTCTAACCTGAAAGACTCTAGCTCTACAAAGGGTACTTCAATTTTCGATGAAATTTATAATTATCATTTTTATTTTGAATTGCAACATCAATTTTGAATTTGAATAGAAAATATTGAAAATTGAAACTTTGATGAATTATTTATAATTGAAAATTGAAAATAAGATTACAAATATTTCTCAATAAAATATACAATTAGAAGTTTCCAGAACTCTTACAAAATTGTATTGAAATAAATAAAATTATTATATAAATCAAAAATAATCAATATAAATATTTAAAAGGAAAACACATTTATTAAAATAATTAATTAAAATATATTATAAAAGAAATTCAATTATTAAAAAGATTATTATATTTTATAATTTGTTCTTTAGGATTTATAAAGGATTTATAAATTTATAAACTAAAAAAAATATTAAAAAATGTTTATTTTATAAAAATTGAAATCTTTAAAATTGAAATTAATTCTTTTGAATATCAATCATTCAATTTATTATCTAAATTATCTCTTTTCAATAATCAAATCCTAAATCATTCTAATCAAAAATTTTGTTTTCAAAAACAAAAATATATACAATAATATTATCAATTGAATAATCACAATACAAGAATCTATATAGAAATTATAATATCTCAACAATTAAATATATCAAAACTTTAATACCTTAACGAATTCCATTTTACTTTTTGATTCAATCAATTAAATCTCAATAAATAAAAAGATGATTTTTCCTTTTTAATAATTCATAATATAATTATTATTGAAATTAAGACAAAATCTAATTTGTTATTTATTTAATCAATAATCAATAACAAATATTCTAATACTGTAAAAATGGTAGGTCGAGATACGTGCGTCCCGATAGCACGTTGTGAGGAAGAAATT